ACGGAGAGCCCCGTGTGTTGGACGTTAGGCCAGCTGTCCTTAGCCTCGGTGGGCGTTGATGTGGACGTGTGGCCACACGGCTGCTCCTCCCGGGGACGTGTGTCCTCTAACCCTGACCGTCTTCTTCCCATGACGCGGGTGGCTAACCACACTAACCAAAGCGCCGTGGCAGCGCCCTCTGTCCTCGCCCCTCTGCTGACCCTGTTTCTGTGTTTCTGTCCGTGTCCGGTGCTGCGGCGGGCTGCATGGACAGCCCTCGGAGTGCAGCAGCTACCTCAACTCCAGCTCCCGTACCTCCTCCCGGGCCAGCTCGGCCCGCGCCAGCCCCGTGGTAAGTCTGTCCCCTGGTCTTGACCTCACGACCTTGACTTCCTTCTCTCCTTCCATTCCTTTTTCACACTCCCTGCTCCTCTGTTTGCTCAAAGTGACCCCACCCCCAAAACCTAAACAGAGGTTGGCGCCAGAAGAGTTTGGGGGGTTTTGGTGCGTGTCTACGGAGATGGAACTGGGGACATTTGAGAATACTTTTCTTCAGCCACGCTGTTAGGATTACGTCGCTAGATTTCTGCGGGCCATATAAGAGGCTGAGCAGGAGGAGGGAAGCTGTGTGGGGTAGGGGCTATACTCATGCATGAATGTGGTGTTTTTGGGGGTGTCTTGTGGGTTTCCTATGATTTAAAAATGTAAAGGACTGAGTTTTAACGTTTTGTTTGCAATGCTATTACTGGAGCCTGGCAGTTTTCAAGATAACCAATGGGGCGGTCCGTGCTGTTCTGTCCATAGATCTCCATTTACCCCCTACTCCCGCTAGTTCTCAGACTGCTCAGGAAGTGCCAGACCCACGACCCACAAAGGCAGGGGGCCCCGGGACCCCTTCCCGCCAAAGCACTTCTCTTTGATTCTCTGCATTTGTAACTGAAAAGACCTACACAGGGGGTGTGTTTGCACAGGTTTACATGGAGTCCTGACTGGGAGCTCCCCAGGGGTGCAGCTCCCAGATTCTGACTGAGCTGGTCTTTTAGGCCATTACAGACTGATAAAAGGTGGACTTTTTTTCTGACCTGAGTCAGTTGCTCCTTTAACAGAGGTGGACTCATTGGCCCACGGTTCCACAGTGTGTATAGGGGTCCCCCTGCTCCACTCGGGGTACCTCGTGGTGGTTGGGGGCCCCTCTGATGTCTGCTTGTTAGAACTGCAGAGACTTTTCTGGATGATGGAGGCAGGTTCGAGGGGACGTGACTACGTGAGGTGGCTCACTTAGGCCACTCGGCACCTGTTGCCCTGGTGCCGTCTGGGACAGAGAACAGAGGAAGAGCGGTGTGTCCTGGTCCTGGGGGCGGGGCGTCGAGACAACAGAGCTCAGCTTGCCCCTTCCCCTCTTGCTAAAACTCGCAGTCCCACCCCAAATCTGCACCTTTTCTGTTTGCTAAGTCCCGGGCAGTAATGCTGGACAAACCGAAAGTGCGAGTGGACGCATCTGGGCTTGTTGGAGGGAAGGGAGCCCATGGAGACCAGCCAGAGAATCGCCAGAAGGAACGTTGTGCTGACTCTGCCCGTCCTTCCACCCAGGAGCCGTGGCAGGGCAGGGAGGGGCCTGCAGGACACTGTCTGGGCCAGGGGCCAGCAAGGGCAGTCCGGCTGGGTGTCCCGGGAGGGCACCAAGGACCTGGGAGGGGGCCTTCAAATCACAGCTTTCGTTCCTGGCTGGGATCCTGTGACCAGACTTAAACCGCCTGAGCTCCACCTGGAAGGAGGAGTAATTACACCTTGAAAACCCAAAACCCATCCCACTGCCATCTAGCAAACAGATTCTGACCCACAGCGCCCCTAGAGGACAGAGTGGAACTGCCCCAGACGATTTCTAAGTCCGTCATCTTTACAAAAGCCAACTGCCTCGTCTCTCACACAGAGCAGCTGATAAGTTCCAACCACTGACCTTTCAGTTCACAGCCAAAAAAAATACAAAAAACAGCAAACCCACTGCCATCAAGTCGATTCCAACTCATAGCAACCCCCTTTGGGTTTCCAAGACAGTAAATCTTTACCGAAGTAGATTAGCCTGTCTTCCTTCCACGGACCAGCTGGTAGGTTTGAACCACCAACCTTTTGGTTAGCAGTCAAATCCCTTAGGCCCTGTGCCACTGAAACTCCTATGCTGTGCCACCTTAATTGTTACACCTTTACAAAACACCAAAGGATGCAGCCTTCAGCTTGTTTGTCCTTGGCAGTGGCCCCGTTATCTGGAGGCGCGCCACAAGGGTCCCCATCTCAGGTGAAGAGGTGGGTTTCACAGTGGCTTTCTGGCTTATCCAGGATCCCGGGGGGGTGTGGGACAGAGCCCCCTGCAGCAGTGGCCTCCTGGCCCCCACTCTGCCCATGTTCCACACACGACGTCTCCCAGCCCCACCACACGGCTCCAGAATCTTTGAGCTGTGATTCCTGTCCTCCCTTCCCCCACCTGTACATGCTGTTCAGAGGTGGAGGGTGGGCCTTGTGTCAAAGTTAAAAGCGCCATCTGATTTGCTAACATGGCCCTTCATTTAGAGGACGGCCTGGCACCTTTATCACAGGTGGGTGCTGCTGTCTCTCGGGCCTGAAGCTCACAGGTCGCACACACAGCTGTCCCCTGGCGGGATGTGAGGTCTCGCCCCATGCTCTCCTGCCCGCATTCTTTGTTGGGGCTGCAAACGCATGAACCCTTCTACTTAGGAAAACAGATAGAGCAGCATGTCCTTACTAAGTGAAGCAGAGGTGGGGAGCAGAGTTCATCGTACATCAGCTCCACCTGTCGTGTTGAGGTTACTTTTCCTCTGACCTCTACTTAAAAACACCGCAAACTGTCCCGTTCTACGCCCATGACGTCCTTCAGGACAGAGGCTTCTTTTCACTATAAAAAGAACAAAACTGTGGCTTTAACTTTTTCCTGTCCTTCCTTATTTTCTGTTTTCCGATCACAAAAATGATCTCTGTTTGTTGTAACAAGTGAAGCCACACAGAGCAGAGACATTGGTTAAGGCCGAGCAGCCCATGTCATCCGCCACCCCACAAAGCAGTGTGCGGTGGCCTGGTGCCCATTCATCCTTGTCTCCCTCACAGGAAATACTCAGAATGAATTGGGTGGAGGTTCTAGTGGTACAGTGGGTGAGGCATATGGCTGCTCACCAGAAGGTCAGCGGTTCAAACCCATCATCTGCTTTTTGGGAGGAAGATGGCGCAGTCTACTTCCATAAAGATTGACAACCTTGGAAACTCTATGGGGGTCGCTATGAGTTGGAATCGACTGCATGACAGTGGGTTTGGTTTTTGGGGTGTTGTCTTTCATGGGCACAGGTATGTCTGTAGGTGAACGTGGACTTCTGGAGCCCCGTTTCTTTATACGTCACATTTACCTGTTAGTGCAGGACAGTTGGAAAACATACCGTTCATCAGTGGGGCAGAAACTGGCCGACTGTCAGCTGTGACTTGGCCACCTGTTCAACTGGGTCTTCAGATTCCCCCGATAAATGACTGTCCGTACGTTCACACAACACTGACTCACAAGCCAGCTTACTCTTCTAGGGAATCCAGGAGATTTCATGGATTAATTCCCCCAGGAGACTGGGTACTAGGTGGTTGGATTGTCTGTAGTTACTTGAAATTAAAAATCTTTCAGGAATACTTAGATTCCTAAGCGGAGAGAGGAGCCATGTTTGAAATGCTGAAATTGTCAGCACAACTGAGAGCACAGCCCAGGGCGCCCTGGGCTCCACCAGGGACAATGAGTCGGGACAGTCAGGGCCACCAGGGACGATGACCGGGACAGTCAAGGCCACCTGAGCCCTGGATTGTCTCATTCTGTGGGTGTGGCATGCCGCTGACATGATCGTTGTCCCCTGTGTGCTCTGACCTACACAGGCACACATGGCCCACGCCAGCACACGTGCCCCACGCCAGCACACGTGGCCCACACCAGGCACACGTGACCCACGCCAGCACACGTGACCCACACCAGCACACGTGGCCCACGCCAGCACACGTGGCCCATGCCAGCACACGTGACCCACACCAGGCACACGTGGCCCACGCCAGCACACATGGCCCACACCAGGCACACGTGACCCACGCCAGCACACGTGACCCACACCAGGCACATGTGTCAGCAAATGCTGGGTGTCCTCTCTGTTCTTGAGACCGCCCAGGACTCAAGAAATCGTCAGAGTCGGTGTGCCCACCTCACTTAATAATCAAGCACACGTTTCTATCTTCCTGTGGTTGGAGTGCGTTTTCTGTAGACCTGGTTATATTCTTGTGGGAACCATAAATGTTGGAACCTATACAGTAAAATCCGCTCGCCGACACGGGCACTGCCACTGTGTCCACACAGCCCACCGGCCACACGTCGGAAACACCACAAAGTCGTCGTTAAAAGCAGACAGAGGCTAATGCTGTAGTTTACCACCTTCTTACCCCCCCGGGGCCCAGCTGCCCCTCGAGTGCTTTTAACTATCTAATATTTGTCCATTTTTTCTGCAGGTTGAAGAGAGACCAGAAAAAGACTTTACTGAGAAGGTAAGCTGTTGTGAGCCTTTGAAGTGTGTGTTTATAAACCTAGAAGGTCCCAGCTGATGGGTGAAACTAACAAGGAAAGGGGCTGGTTGGTGTTTAATAAAGCTGCCTGCTATTGTGCAGACACTGGGCCAGTTAAGTGGCCCACAAACCAGTGTTCCATCCCTCCACCCCGGGGTCCCTTCCAGCGTGAATGTAAAACCCTGCAGAACTTAAAGGTATCCCTCATGGGCCCAGCCATGGAGCTCAAGGTCAACCCAGACAAGGTCCAGAGCTCCCAGGCAGCCCCTCAGTGAGACCTCTCTGTGGCACTTGCCACAAGCCTACGGAGGATCTTCCCGGGTGGGCACTGAGTTCAGGGGAAGGCATGGAACTCTCAGTCTTTTGCATTATTTTGCTCTTGTCTGAAGCCACGTTTGATCCTTTGCAATATTCTAGGGGTCTCGTAACATGCCCAGCTTGTCGGCAGCCACCCTCGCCTCTCTGGGTGGGACGTCCTCCCGGAGAGGAAGTGGAGACACATCCATCTCCATGGACACCGAGACGTCGATTCGGGAAATCAAGGTGAGAGCCTCTGTACTCCTTTGACTTAAAGGAAACTGTTAGGAAAGCCTGACTTCAAATCAGGAAAGATTTTGTTCTTAAGATACTAGGTCTCCGTCCTGTCCCTCGCCCATGAGCATGGTGTCTTGTAACGCCAAACTTCAACTCGGATGCTGTCTCCTGCAGGAAGTTGTGCCTGCCCTGCCCCCACCCCACCAGGGCAGACTATGTTCCTGTCCCCTCTCTACCCCCCTCTGGCCATCCCTTTCGAGATTCTGGTCACATCGTGTTGACACGACGTGGCGGTCCTCCCTGGGTACTGGCATGCATAGACACTCGGTCTGCACTTCCTGGGATGTACGGGCACCAGGTTGCTTGGTGTTCCCTGACCACACGTGGTGTCTGGACACCAGCCTGCGGTTGAGTGTCCTTCCCTGCTACCTGGGATGGGTGCCTGTCCGTGTGTGACCCGCCTCAGCAGACCTCAGCCCATTGCCGTTGACTGCTCTTCTCTTCTCCTGCTGGAACATGGATCTCATTTTCTGCTCTGTCTTGGCCCTGAGCACAGGCCCAGCCATGTGTGTGGCTTCACTCAGAGAAACACACTCTGTTTGTGAAAGTAACGAGGGGCGTTGCATCGGAGCAGAGACCACGAGAGGAAGCAGTGTCAGTCCCAGAATGTTAGGTCCCCTACAGGCGGAGTCAGGGTCAGAAGGAGGAACTGCAGACATCGGCTTCATTTAGAGAGGAGCTTCCAAACCATTAAAAGTGGTCATTATTACCACCAGTGATGTCCACACAGCTGGTCGGCCATCTGCCAGGGCCGGTGGAAAAGGCTGGGCAGGACCCCTTGGAAATAGGCTCAGCCCCTGAGTTTATGAGATCAGAGAGCGAGCAGAAAACAAAGGAGGCTTCTCTTGGGAGCTCCTGGCCGCCCGCCACCTCCCGCAACTCCGGCGGGTCCTGCAGCTCTGCGTACACCCCTCTGCAGCATGGACTCGTGTGTCTGCAGCCACAGCGTCTCTGTCTCAGGCTGTGAGCACCATTCACTTGTCAGCAAGTGCCAGCTGAGAGTCCGGCTCGGGCCAGAGCCCGACAAGGCACCAGGAGTTCAGTGGTGGCCCAGGCAGACACAGGAGAGACTTGGTGCTGATAAATGCAGGGCCACCGCTCTGCTGACTGTCACCCCTGTCACTGACTGTCAGCAACAGAGAGGAGGGACTCAGAGTGCCAGAGGGCAGCATCTGATACGAGTGAGAGAGCTGGCACCACTTGCAGGAGCTGTTGGGCCTGTTTAGAACCTTGTGGAAAAGTGTGGTACTAAGTCCAAACCGCACCTGTTCCCGTTGAGCCGATTCTGACTCAGACGTCCCTAAGTGTCAGAGAGCAGCCCTTCTCCACAGTGTCCTCGACTGTGATCTTTAGGGCAGCAGATCACCAGGGCTTTCTTCCACAGCACCCCTGGGTGGGTTCGAACCACCAACCTTCAAGTTAGCGGCCAGTCCAAACTGCCTGCACCACCCAGTGAAATAAGATGATTGCTGTTGTTAGGGGCCATCAAGTCGGCCCCAGCCCCCAGTGACCCCATGTACAATAGAACCAAACACTGTCCAGCCATGCTATCGGTCCACCTTACTGAAGGTCTTCTGTTATTAGATGTTCCCAACTATTCATCTGTAAAGTACTGACCGGTACTTAGTTTTCCTTTATTTAAAAAAAGGAGAGGGAGAAACCAGTACTCAGACGTCGCAGATGAGAAGCACGCCGTCCAGGAGAACAGAGAATGAGGGAGTCGCGCCTCCTTCTTTGTGGTCACGGTCAGTTTTACCCTCAACATCATCTCCCTCTTTTGCCATCTCCCCCAGGAGCTCAGTGAGTTAAAGGAACAGATTCAAGATGTAGAAGGCAAATACATGCAGGGGCTGAAAGAGATGAAGGTACTGACTGACACGAGTGTGGGCTCGTGGGATTAACCCAGCGTAACTCTCAGGAACCCCAGGAAGACGTTCACACCGCATGCTGTGTGCCAGAGATGCTCTGTGTCGTGCAGCCCCGAGAGGCAGTGGGGCCAGTCTGGGCGTGGACACTCACCATTGCCCAGCGCACTTTTGAACCGAGACTTTAAAATTGTAACTCCCCACCAGAAGAGCTTACTAATCCGTGTTCCTGATGCATGCTGTGTTCTGCCCCACTGAGAAGCAGGCTCTCACTCCCCCAAGAAGGGCACACACCCTTGAAGAAGGGGTGTTTGGGGGGCCTTTCCTTACTGTAGTCGCTACATACAAGCCATGCTGCGCTTAACTTGCTTCTCCAAAGATTTGATGTCTGTCCATCCGTCAGTTGGTCCTAACACGCCACACTTTTGAAACTTCCAAATTGTTTGCATACTGTAACATTTTACTAGCTGAAGTGATGTCTGAGCATGTGTCCTTGGATTTATTCGCATATATGCATGACACATTTAGAATGTGGAATGGCTGCATTGTGTCAACTGGACAGTGAGGTCGCCATGTTCTTAACTGGGAGGCAAGGTGAGTATTTGGCGACTGGGTTTTCTCTGTCTCCACTCGGTGGCTTACCGCCAATCACCGATCTAGCAGTTGATCATGGGTCTACTGCTTCCTTTCCAGCTCCCCAACAAGTACCTGGAAGAGAGTCAGACATCATTGTCACGTGGGCACCAGAAGGAGGGTGGCATGGACCACGTGACTCGTTGACTATTTTCATGTTTGTCACCTCTGTGCTGCTGTTGTTGGGTGCCAAGTCGATCCCAGCTCCTGGTGACTCCGTGGGACAGAGTCAAAGTGCCCCTTGGGTTTCCTAGCCTGTCATCTGTAGGGAAACACATCCTCAGGTCTTCCTGCCACAGAGCTACTAGATGGGTTTGAACTGCCAGCCTTTCGGTTAGCAGCCAAACACTTAACCATTGCTCCACCAGGAGAAAACTTAAGATTCTGGCTTATGGATCACGTAGAAAGAGAGCCATTGAACTATGCCAAGAACCACTGCTCTCACCTGAAGTTGTTCCCTGTTTGGAAATGCAGGGTGGAGCCTCCCACAGCACACAATATGCTTGGCCAATCAGTGCTCATCTTTCCTCAGCTTCGGATTGTGTGTGTCCCGGGGAACCAACGTCTCTTCTCTGGAAGCACCTTCCCTTCGCGTGTTTGCAGATCTTGCTGTGAATTGCCCGGTGCTGAGCCAAGTGACGGCAGCGCCTTGTTGCCTTGCTGGCCTCTTTCCCAGGTGGTTCTTCCAAAGGAATGACCTTCATCTTTCCAGGACCCGCCCAGTGAAACCTGAACACCTTATTTAGTTTTCCTATGGGTCAAGATGTACCCAAACAACATACTGTATTGGGCAAATCTGCTACAAAAGACCTCTTTAAAGTATTCAACAGCAAAGATGTCACTTTAAGGACTCAGGGGCACCTGACCCAAGCCATGGTATTTTCATTCTTATATGTATGCAAATGAATGTTCTCTAGGGACCATTCCCTGGAGAAGGATATCATGCTTCGTAAAGTGGAGGGTCAGTGAAAAAGGGGAAGACCCTCAACTAGATGGATCGACACAGTGGCTGTAACAGTGGGCTCTGGTATAGCAAGGATTGTGGGGATGGCACACGACTGGGCAGTGCTTTACTCTGTCGTACACAGGGTCACTATGAGTTGGTGCCAACTCAACAGCACAAAACAACAACATGCATGTAAAAGCTGGATAATGAACAAGGATGACTGGAAAAGGATTGAGGCCTTTGAATTATGGTGTTGGCAAAAAATACCAGCTGCCCAAAGAATGAACAAATCCGTCATGGAAGAAGTACAGCCAGAATTCTCCTTAGAAGTGAAGATGACAGGACTTCGTCTCACGTACTTTAGATGTATCATCAGGAAGGACCGGTCCCTGGAGAAGAACATCATGCTTGGTAAAGTAGGGGGTCAGCGAAAAAGAGGAAGACCCTCAACGAGATGAACTGACACGGTGGGTGCAACAGTGGGCTCAACTGTAGCCACGATTGTGAGGATGGCACACAAGCGGGCATTGTTTTATTTTGTTGTAATGTGGTCACTGTGAGTCAGAACCAACGTGATGGTACCTCACAACAACATGAGTTAAGAATCTGAAATTACCCCTTAATCCTTTCCTGGTTTGTGAGGCCAGATCAGGATGATGGTCTGTAGCTTTTGATGAGTGTTGGGTTTTATTGGCACTGCTCATGGGCTTTGTCCTGGTTCTGGCACGGTGTGTTGAGTGATTATCTCAGAAACCTGTTGGGTGACTCTGCCACCCTGAGACTCCGGGACCATGAGGCACCTGCTGTTTTTTTTGGCTGTGATCAATAATTGGTCTTAATAGTCAATGGTTGTCCTGCCTGTGGGACCCAAACCCTTTCTATCCTGTGTGCCCTTTGTTCGACATTGCTTTCATGCCTGGGATTGTTGGGTGTGCCGTCCAGCCACGTCAAACTCATACTGGCCCGATACCACAGAGTAGAACTTCCACATAGGGTTTCCTCGGCTGTAATCCTTACAGACAAAGAAATTGAAGATTTTTACCAGCTTCTGCAGTCTGAAATTGACCAAACATAAAATCAAGATGTATTGATAATTACTGGTGATTAGAAGGTGAAAGTTGAGAACAAAGATGAATCATAGCTAGTTGGAAAATACGGCCTTAGTGGAAGAAATTACACCAGAGATCATGGGATAGAATTTTGCAAGACCAATGATTTATTCACTGCTAGTACTTTTTTCACCTCACCAGATGAAATACACAGGAATCAAGTCGACTACATCTGTGGAAAGAGACAGTGGAGAAGCTCAATATCATCAGTCAGAACAAGGCCAGGAACTGACTGTGGAACAGACCATCAATTTCTCATATGCAACTTCAAGTTGACGCTGAAGAAAACTAAACCAGGCCTAAACAAACAGACAAACAAAAACTCACTGCCGTTGAGTCAGGTCCAACTCATAGCAACCCCTCCTTGTGTTTCCGAAGCAGTATCTCTACAGAAGTAGATTGCTCAGTCTTTCTTCTGAGGAGTGGCTGGTGGGTTTGAACTGCCAGCCTTCTGGTTAGCAGTCAATGCCTTAGGCATTGTGCCACCAGAGCTCATGAACCAAGCCCAGGAGAGTCAAATAATGACCTTGATTTTATCCCACCTAAATTTAGAGACCATCTAAAAAAATAGATTTGGTACATTCAACACCAGTGACTGAAAACCAGATGAATTGTGGGATGACATCAAGAATACCATCCATGAAGAAAGACAGGAAAGGAAGAAGAGAACCAACTAGATGTCAGAAAAGACTCTGGAACTTGCTCTTGTACGGAGAGTAGCTAATCACGTGGACGAATGGAGGGAAGAGCTGCACAGAAGATTTTGAAGGGCAGCTCAAGAAGACAAAGCATTGGAATGAATTGTGCAGAGACTTGGAGCTGAAAACCGAAAGTTCTTTCAGCATTTCTCAAACTGAAAGAACTGAAGAAAAAAATCAAGCCTCAAGTTGCAATATTGAAAGACTCTATGGGCAAAATATTGAATGATGCAGGAAACATCAAAAGAAGATGGAAGGAATGCACAGAGTCACTGTACCAAAAAGAATTGGTGGGTGTTCAACCATTTCAGGAGGTGGCATATGATCGAGAACCAATGGTATTGAAGGAAGAAGTCAAAGCTGCACTGAAGGAATTGGCAAAGAAAAAGGCTCCAGGAATTGACAGAATTGTTGTTGTTGTTGTTGTTATGTGCCGGTGAGTTGACCCCGACTCATAGCAACCCCTCCCTGGGTTTCTGAGGCAGTATCACTACAGAAGTAGATTGCTCCGTCTTCCTTCCGAGGAGTGGCTGGTGGGTTTGAACTGCCTGCCTTCTGGTTAGCAGTCAAGTGCCGTAGGCACTATATTGAGATGTTTCAACAAATGGATCCCCTGCTGTAGGCAATCACTTGATTGTGCCAAGAGATTTGGAAGACAGCTACCTGGCCAACTGACTGGAAGAGATCCCTATTTGTGTCCATTCCAAAGAAAGGTGATCCCACAGAATGTGGAAATTATTGAACAATATCATTAATATCACACACAAGTAAAGGTTTGCTGAAGATAACTTAAAAATGGTTGCAGCAGTGTATTGACAGGGAACTGCCAGAAATTCAGGCTGGATTCAGAAATAGAGTGAAGGATATCGTTGGTGATATCAGGTGGATCTTGGCTCAAAGCAAAGAACACCAGAAAGGTATTTACCTGTGTGTTACTGACTCTGCCAAGGCATTCAACTGTGTGGGTCATAACAAATTATGGACAACATTGCAAAGAATGGGAATTCCAGAACACTTCATTGTGCTCATAAGGAACTTGTACATAGACCAAGAGGCTGTCCTTCGAACAGAACAAGGGGAAACTGCATTGCTTAATATCAGGAAAGGTGTGCATCAGGGTTGTAGCCTTTCACCATACTTGTTCAATCTCTATGCTGAGCAAATAATCCAAGAAACTGGGCTATATGAGGAAGAATGTGGCATCAGGATTGGAGGAAAAGTCATTAACAGCTTGTGAAATGCAGATGACACAACCTTGCTTGCTGAAAGTGAGGATGATTTGAAGCACTTACTGATGAAGATCAAAGGCTATAGTCTGCAGTATGGATTACGCCTCAACATAAAGAAAATAAAACTCCTCACAACTGGACCAATAAACATCATCATGATAAATGGAGAAAAGGTTGAAGTTGTCAAGGATTTCATTTTACTTGTATCCATAGTCAACACCCGTGGAAGCCGCAGTCAAGAAATCAGACAATATATTGCACTGGGCACATCTGCTGCAAAAGACCTCTTTAAAGTGTTAAAGAGCAAAGATGTCACTTTGAGGACTAAGGTGCACCTAACCCAAGCCATGGTATTTTCAGTATCCTCCTACACGTGTGAGAGCTGGACAATGAATAAGGAAGACAGAAGAAGAGTCGATGCATTTGAGTTGTGGTGTGGTGAAGACTACTGAAAATGCCATGGACCACCAGAAGAACTAACAGATCTGTCCTGGAAGAAGTGCAGCTGCAGTGCTTCTTGGAAGCGAGGATGGCCAGACTTCATCTCACCTACTTTGGTCGTGCTGTCAGACGGGACCTTTCCCTGGAGAAGGACGTCATGCTTGCTGAGGGGGAGGGTCAGTGAAGAAGGGGAAGGCCCTCAATGAGATGGATGACACCGTGGCTGCAACGATGGGCTCAGGTATAATAGGGATTGTGAGGCTGGTGCCAGGACTGGGCACTATGAGTCGGAGCCAACCCAATGGCACCTAACAACAACAGTCTTTTCCCCCACAGAGCTGCTGGTGGGTTCCAACTGCCACCCTTTCAGTTAGTAGCCGAACACTTAACCACTGTGCCTCCAGGGTGCAGTGAATAACTAGACACAGTTTTTAACTAATTTTCTGAGGGATGAGAATTTGATCAAACTGAAAAGAGGGAACTTGTGGGTATTTGAGTGGCTGTGTGTTTCTTGTTCACATTAATTGCTCTGGGAAATAAAGTCCAGACTCAGGGCTGAGGTTCAACAGTTTCTAAAAGGTAGCACTGAACTGATCCTTGGTTTTGCTTTCTCGCCGCAGTTTTAACTATCTGCCCTGGTTTCTGCAGGACTCCCTAGCAGAGGTTGAAGAGAAATACAAGAAGGCAATGGTGTCCAATGCACAGCTGGACAACGAGAAGACGAAGTTCATGTACCAGGTGGACACCCTCAAAGACGTGTTGATGGAGGTGGAAGAGCAGCTGGCCGAGTCCAGGCGACAATACGAAGAGAAAAGCAAAGTAAGCTGTGGAGTGAGAAGGAGCAGTGCTGTGGGTACCATGGGGTCAGTGCCCACTCAGGACAGACCTGTGTGACAGAGTGGACCTGTCCCATAGAGTTTTCTAGGCTCTAATCTTTACAGAACCAAGTCCCGTATCTTTCTCCCATGGAGCCACTGGTGGGGGGTTAACTGCCAGACTTTGGGTAGCAGCAGAGCACTTAAACATGGCACTACCAGGACTCCTTATAAAGAACAGTAGCTGACTAGAGATACAGTAAAGAGACCTGTGTGTGTGTGTAACACGTCCGTCCATCCACACACCCATGGTTCTCTATTTGTCCGGAAAGCAGAAACATCGAAGAGTGAAAGTACCATATTCTTTGCCAAGTGGCTTGAAATATTGATGTGAGTAATTTCAACACGTAAACTAGAGACAGTTTTTCTAGGAGAAAAATTAGTATTTTAGATGTAATGTAAAAACGTAACCATGCAGAAGCAAGCCTGTACAATGGCCAGCATGTCTGTAGGTGAGCTGCAATGAGCTGGGTCAAGATTGTGCTGTTAATGAGCGTTCCCTGCTTTTTAGTTTACTGCCTGCTAGCATCACAGAGAAAGTCAGGTACCTATTCTTGTTACCTATTTTAGCAGGGATTTTAAGAATATTGTGTTTATTTATTTTCTGGGAAAAACCCTATTTACTCCATTTAAGCATCAGAACATTTTATTCAGCTCAAAGAAGGGCCTGCTCTTGGCTGGGCCTTTGTGTCAGAATGACATAAAAATGGAATTCCCGCTGCACCTTTGGTGCTGACTTTCCTCCTCTGTAGGAATTTGAAAGGGAAAAGCATGCCCACAGCGTCCTGCAATTTCAGTTTGCTGAGATGAAGGAGGCCCTGAAGCAAAGGGAAGAGATGCTTGAGGTGGGTAACATTTTCCTGTCTTTCTTTCTCATCTTTGACGTAAGCACTTTGTCGGTTCATTACTAGAGTTAATGGTTTCCTCAGAAATCAAGGGTAGGTTCATTCTCTGTGTCTCGCTTCAGGGGACGGTTCCTCTCACTGGTAAGAAGGCTTGTTCTTTGGTGGTTTTGTATGTTTTGGGGAGATGTGGAAGACAGAGCAATGGCCCCCCCAAAGATGTCCACATTCTAAACCCTAGAAACTGAATGTGTCACCTGACATGGCAGAGGGGCTTTGCTGATGTGATTAAATAAAGGACTTGAGTTGGGGTGTTAATCTACCAGGGTTATCCAGGTGGGCCCAGGATTGCAAGACAAGAGTCTTTGTGAGAAGGAGGAGGGCAGGTCAAAGGCAGCCATCCAAGTTGGGATGATGAAAGCGGAGGCCAGAATGATGTGAGGGTGGGACCAAAAGGCAACGGATGTGGGCGGCCCTAGAAGCCGGAAATGGCAAGGAATAGATTCTCCCTGGCAGCCTCCAGGAGCCAGGCCTGCCCACACCTTGGTTACCTTAATGGTAGCCCCTAAGAGTCATGATGGACTGCCGACCTCCAGAACTATAAGGCAGTACATTTGTCTCGTTTCACGCCACCAAGCGTGTGGTAATTTGTTATAGCAGCAATGGGGAATGGATACAGGAAGTGGTTTTTGTTTTTTAGATTTAGTCAAGGTTTTCATTAGTTCCTACGTGTAGGTGAGAACTTGCCTCAGCAGGTGGTTCTCCCCCTGCTCGTGTTGACTCTAGGCGGTAGAACCAAGGACAGAGCCCAGAACACGGATGGTGAGGTCAGGGTTCATGAGTTAAAATGGCCCTGGGGCCTTCAGACTCGGCGCAGACACGGTGGCAGCCAAGGGTGCAGTGGAGCCGGCACTGGGGTTATTCTTCCTATTTAACCCTTTCCCTGCTTTCTTTCTGTCTGTCTGTCCCTGTTCCTCAGGAAATCCGGCAGCTCCAGCAGAAACAGGCGAGCTCTCTCAGGGAAATTTCCGATCTTCAGGAAACAATAGAGTGGAAAGACAAAAAGATAGGGGTAGGCCTCTCACCCTTGGAAAATTGTTCCGTTGGGCAGTGGGCTTAGCCAGTCTCCTCCTTGCAGAGCGTGTGGTTGGCTAGCAGTGTATGTGAGTCTGCGTGCAGCCCCCGCAGGACACGAGATCACACGGGCTGCACCAACTCGCCCAACTGGCATTTACTCAGCTTGAAAAGCTGACTGTGAACCCAAAGATTTGCATGTGGCCGGCCCTGACCGAGCTCTCCTGGCTGCACTGTGAGTGGTGTTGAAATGTGTGGCGGGAGGAAGGTGTCTGGAGCCAGGCTAGTGGGTCGAGGTTCAAAACTTGCTGGAACTCTCCGCCTGGTGTAACCGCGCTTCCTCGCCGGGTTTGAGGGAGCTACAGGGCAGCAGGTGCAATGTCCCATGTACGTCTGCCTTGACCCCTACCCCAGGAAGAGCACTCGGGCTCCCTCTCTCCATGAGAGAAAAAGGACCCACCTGCGTGGGGCAGGGAAGAAGAGGAAGGAAAGACCCCCTCAAAGCACCTGAGACGAGGCCTAGTGACAGCCTCCCGAGAGTAGGCACCATGCTGCCTGGCCTCTGCCGACTCGCTGTGGGCGTCCGAGTGCGTCACCCATGCATTTACACCCTGAGGCTGCACTGGGCGCTCCCTCTGGCGGCCCAGTGACCCATAGCGGGGTTCCTGTGTGCGTTTCCACTTCAGGGCCACTCTAGATCTGTGACAACAAAAGACACAGACCAGCAGAGAAGAGGCGACATCAGCTACTAAACAGTTGTCCTTTGGGGGGTCCGAACATCTCTTTCCTCTGTTCTTTTGGTAGCCCTCATTTAAATGACACCAACTAAATAGGCCCCCGTGCCTTGCGCTCCGGTGCCAGGCTTCAGAATGCTAGCGTCCTTCCAGGAGCATGCACCCTCACGGTTCACGGTTTGCATGAGCTAAAGAAGCTTATTGTCTGCATTTGGTTTGTGTCTCTAACCAAGTTCTACTGACTCTTGTAAAACTCTGTAAATGCTGTATACAGTAGGCGCCTACTTCTCAGCCCCACTTCTTAAGCAGCCCGCTCACCCGTGCCACTCTTCTTTCTCTTTGCACCGCTGCGCGCTCAGGCCTTAGAGAGGCAGAAAGAGTTCTTTGATTCCGTACGGAGTGAACGAGATGATCTTAGAGACGAAGTAGCCATGCTGAGAGAGGAGCTGAAGGTATGGAGCCAAAGTACAGGTTAACAAAATCCAGGGGACGGCAACGTGTTTGGGGATTCTCATCAACGGCCGTGTGTGCGTGCCGGTGCTGATCACGGCCACGTCGCTGGTCCTCATTCTGTTCACCAGTTCACGTCTCAGGCTGACTGGGAGTGAGGACTAAATGCAGGTTCAGGGGGCCTGCTGGCCAGGGCCTCTGACATTTCCACGCCTTGAACTGTGACTCCCAGAACGTTGTTTGGTGTGCACCTAAATCCTGTGTCCTTCCCCTTAGTAAATTCTGCAGGGCATCACTAAAATTTGGAGGATGTGGTTTATTTCTGTCAAAGCCTCCAGTTTCAGGTCTCCTCTAGCTGAACAGGGTCTTAGGTGAGTAGTACGTGCTGGTGACGTCCAACTTCACGAAATTCCGAGACGAGGCATGTAGGAGGGGAAAGTTCCAGGCCCTCTCTGGGCCACTCCAGGTGTTTTCTGCTGCTGCCTCAACATGGAGTGAAGAGCCCATGGGCAGCACTGGGGGCCGAGGCTTAATGTGGGCTCCCTGACCCCAAAGAGGCAGGGACAAGTGAAGGCATGGCTGTGGGACCCTTCCTGAGGAGCCAACGGGAGCATCTTCTCTGCTGTGCTCCAGGGTCTGCCCGCTGGGCGCAGGCATACAGCGAAGGCCCGTCGTGGTTGGCGTGTTCCCGGCCAGGTCCTCGCTCCCCGTGCACTCCCCTCCCTTGGGCAGCCCCACACTGGCTTAATATTGCTGGGGGTTCCTACAGACACAGGGAGGCAGCTGTGGGGAGAGGCGGTGGGAGTGGGTGGTGATGGGAGTAGGGTCCTGGCACAGGAAGGGAAGCTGTTCCTGCACTTCACCGTGTGTGAGCTGGGGTCCATTTCTTTGAATATCACCAACATTCTGCCCCCATACTAGCCCCTGCCTCTTAACATCAGTTTTGTTCATTCCCTTTGGGACACGCACGTCTTCCTTTCATGTTCACAGTCTCTCTTCTCAAAGAGTGCAGCCGTGGTTTAAAATCCACAGTCACTTTGCAGTGCTATGCTCGGTGGCCCACCCAGTGGAAGCCACAGGCCGTGCCCTCCAGTTGGCCGGACGAGGTCCTGTTGGCTGGGCCTTGTCAGCAGCCGATAGACATGGTGTGTGTCATGGGGGAGTTCTGGGCATGGTGCCCCGGCACTTCCCTGTCTCGGAAGATCCTCTTTTCTTCGGGAGGGATAGTTTCTTCCTGCTGTTATTATTGTTATAAAAATAGAGTTTAACCCAGCATCACTCAGTGGGTATTACGAAAAGCGTGTTTTTGTTCCCAGAAACATGGAATAATCCTAAATTCAGAACTAGCTGCCAATGGAGAGACGCCAGGCGCTCTAAATAATGTCGGCCACCAAGGTTCTATGATGACAAAAGAAGAGGTCAGTGTCCTCAAGGCGACAGGCGACGGGACGCTGGGTAAGTGTTTGTTTCCTTTGGGTCTTCCCACCTCCCCAGCCAGCATCGATTCACCTTCATGCATTGTAGCCTTGAAGTCATCACCACTGATGGATTAACAGTCCCGTGGCATGCCGTCTGTCTGTCACCTTACGGGTTGCCTCCCGGGCGGTGCACTCGCCTGCCTGCCCACCAGCGTGGTCTGGCATGCGCCCCTCCTGTGCTCACCACCAATGGCTCCAGTTCACATGTCTGTTGCTTCTCGCAGCTGCCCGTTGACACTGAATGCACAGAAAAGGGTCCCGAGCTTAAGTGACCATCTTGACAAAGGCGACGTGGTTTTCCTCAGTCACCTACCAAATATGGCCCTTCTGGTACTGCCATTACGGGAGTGCACAGGGGTCAGGATAGCCCAGCTGTGCCATAAGTTAGCCGACCGTGTTCATCGTGAGCCCTGCACACTCAGTGCTGCGCCTCGTGTTCCGAGGTGGGGGGCTTCTGATGAGGGCTGCTGCTTCCAATGAGCTGCTGTCCTCCAGCCATAGCTCCCCAGGGGCAGGTGTGACCGGTGCAAGTGAGGTTGCTGTCCAGGGAGGCTGGGAGCATGGCTGCCTCTCTGTGAGGTCGTATGCCCACTCTGCACGTAGCATTTCTACCTCTCTGTCAGAGGCGGTATCCCCACTCTGGACGTAGCATTTAGCGTCTGGAAAAATCCACACTAGGGACCCAACAGATCGCAGAAGTAGTTCATGCAATCTATGCGTCTCTATAAAGGCCCGCTCACGAATGCCCTCTGAGATGAGTCGGAATTGACTCGACAGCATTGGGCTTGTCTTTTGGTTTTTGAGGAATATTTGTCTTGACATCTGGCTTTGGAACTAACCTTCCAGTTCTGGGGTCCAGCCTCAGGTAGCCACAGACAAGGCCTCACCTGTCCCAGCCCCGGCTTTGCCCAGTGAGGCTGGAATGAAGTCAGGGCCCCTCATTTTCATGGACATCTAGAAGCTCTCATCCTGTTTATCTTCATTTGTGGAAAAGTGTAGAAGCCTCGAGACCCCAGATTCTCAAGTCCTGCTTCCCAGGGAGGTGCCGCACCATCTTGGTGATGATTAAAGACGTGCAGCTCTTTTATCGTGTCAGGGTTGTTGGGAGGAGACCAAGAACAGCGTCAGCCCACCTTTCTAGGAGTTACTGAGCAGCTAGGAATCAGTCAGGCTGTTCTCATGCAGTATACATCTTCAGAAACTTTGGACAACCACTGTGTGGTGCTTAAAGAACCAGAAATAAGTTCTAGAAGTCATTCTAAAGGTTTTTTTATCACATACCCTTATCAGTAAAAAATTGGAGGAATATCCCAATGTATATTTTTATTTTTCATGTGTGTGCATATATATAGAGATATATATGCTATTTTGGTCATACAGGATGTGCATTGTAAGACATATACAACAATAGAAACTGTGGAAGGACTAAGGCTAAACAGCAGTTTTCCTCCATTTTCCTTGGGGAAAGTACACCCCCTGTGGAACCCGCAACCTTATAGAGTGACCAGACCTGACTTTTCAGTAAGATGGTATCTCCTCTGCTGGAGTTAAGTTTGTTTGCAGAATCCAGGACACAACTGTTCCATCCGAAGCAGCAATACATGCTTTAGTTGATTCATCTCTTGTTTAATTTAGTGACGGTCTTGATCTTAAGCGTCTGCCTCCTGCTGGAACCTTTTCCCATCCCTTAGGAGTGGGGCAAATGTTTCTTGGGGGCACAGGCCCAAGATACTGTCTCAGGAAGGTGTACATTGATTGGGTGGTGGGAGATGGGTTTCTGTTGACGTCACATGAGCCAGTTCAGAAATATTGTCATCCTTGAGATGGACCTCCAGGCTGAGTTCCTTAACGTGTCCTGAATGTCCCTTTCAGATGTCACTTGAAAGCCCTTGAGGGCTGTGTGGTATGTGTGGTGCCATGTGCAGCTGAGGAAGTATGAGTAGTCAAGATGTGCCCTCAGAAATGAGAGTCAGGAGCCTAGCCTCAGTCCATTCTCACACCTCGGCAGTGTGGGTTGTTGTGTTACCTCATCCGAAGCTCTTCTAGCGGCTGAACCTTAACTTCGCCTTTCGAAATTCAGTTCACGCAAGATGGCGCCAGCAACCACTCTTACCTTTGCGATGGGGGCGCTAGTGGCCTTTGCGGAAGGAGTTGACTAATGCACACTGCTCTGCCACACAGAACTGGCGAAGGCTTCTGTTTCGTGTGGTCCTTGATGATCCCTGCTCTTTGGGGATGGGCTCGGGGGGGAACTAGGGCGCGTGTTACATTTACTGTCTATCGAGTAGTTGCCACGTCATGTGGTCCCTTCAATTTTCTCAATGATCTTTTAGGAAGAACCAGTGAAGTGGAGGAGAAAAATGCAATGGTGGCGAGTGTGGGGAGAGGAGAGAGCTTGCAGAATACCGAGCAGCACGAAGAAGACAAGGACTGGGCCGGCTCAGAGGAGTCGCAGCCTGGTGACAATACTGAGGACCAGAAAGCCTCTGAAGTCAAAGCCATGCCCCCAGGAGCACTAACCAATCCAAAACAGGAGGAGCAGGCCCTGGCTATGCCAGGTGATGCGCCTGGAACATCCCCTGAGGAGCCCACGTGCCTGAGAGATTTAGGCAGGAAGAGCCCAGGTCCTGTGTTTGCGCAGCAGCCCAGTAGTGCCCTGGATGTCAAAAACAGAAGGGAAGAGTCTGAAGAAAAGCAGGAAAATGGAAAACAAGAGGATTTTAAAACCAGCTCAGGAGAGGTCAGTGCAAAGCCATGTCAGGAGTCTGTTCCTGTGTGCGTACCAGAAGTGGACAGGGAAAGCAGTCCAGACACTGAGGGGCAGTGCGGGAGCCCTGCAGAGAGGGTGGTAGAGCCAGAAGTAGCTAACATTGGGGAGCAGGTGGACACAGTGTCCCCAGGTCTTCCAAACTGTAGTGAAGACCCAGTGAATCAGGATGACAGCCATTCAGTCGATGCCCCTAAAGACCCAAGCACAGCATGGAGTTTAGAGGAGGAACTCGTCACCCAGGAGGCAGCTGAGCCCAAGTCGGCGCCGACAGGGAGTGAAGAAGTAGGTAGGGAGAATGATGAGGAAGGTGACGAAACAGAGCCAGTGGATGAGAAACCCACTCAGACGGAAGTCCAAGCCAGTCCTTGTTCTCCAACAGCCAAGAGCAGCCACACAGGTCAGCTGGGTACTGGAAGTGAACCCTTAGGCCTGAAAGAACCCCATGAAGAAAAGAACGACCCACATGGAGGGACGTTGGACTTGTCACCAAAGAAGACAAAGAAGAAAAAGAAAAACAAGAAGAAAAAATTGCCAGTCCCTGCAGAAACCCTTCAAGACATGAAGGGTGAGTTAGCATCTCAGAGCACAGAGTTGAGTGAAGTTATGGAGGAAGAGCAGGTGACATTAGCTGACACAAAACCAGCCGGGGAAGCCCAAAACGAGGCAACCGAAGCTGCAAAGCAGAAAATTGTATCGGGGAGCAGTGAGGATGGGGAGTGTCCCGCAAGTCCTAAAATTCAGCCAGATGGAAAACCCAACCAAGAAGACGCGAAGGCTGCGGTAGGAAAAGGAGTCGCTGAAGGAGACACATTTGAAGCTAATGCCATTCAGTCATCAGGTGCTGGCGGCAGTGGTAAAGAATCGGAGGAAAGTGTCACAAAAGACAGTGCTGGGAAAGAGGATGCTGTTCAGAGCAGTCCTCAGGACCCTGAGGACGAAGGTGCAGACAGCAGCCCCTCCGAGGGAGTTCCTGATGCCTCTCAGGCCGAAAGCATAGAGAACTGTGTGAGGTCGGAACAGCCCCACCAGACAGTCGAGAAGGCCTTAGAGAACAGTGGCCTGGAAAACGATGGCTCGGCAGTGGCGGCAGGAGAGCTGGGGGACTTGGAATCGGAACAGAGTGAAGACATGAGAAGGGAGCAGGAGAAGGGCAAAAGCAAAGAAGACTGTACCATGTCCTGAGTCGAGGCAGGCTGGAGAGGTGGTGGCTCAGAGAGGGAGAGGACTTTGCACGGACAGTCGGATTGTTGGAAGATTCATCTTTTCTCTCCACTAATGATTTGCAGAAAATGTTCTAAATTGGTATAGATGCATTGTCTGACAACCAACCACCAAGTTACTTGCTCCTTTATGCTGTAGACTGTTACCTGTAGGTTTACATTCAGTCATTACGGTTATCACCCAGATTAGACAGTCAGACACTCTTGTTATCATGGAGAGCATTCCACTGGCTTCAAGGGCTTCAAGCAGCAACGTCAATGACATCTAGTCCCAAGTAAAATGAGAATGAAATTCAGGAGCCTATACCGTTGGCTGAGGTAGACGTGGACATTCTCAACCAAACAGATCAACATCTAACTGAAAGGACCAAATCAAATGGTGAGATTTCCGGGTCGTGAGTTTCACTAAGATTTAAATGAATTTGTCTCATTCAGATATATGTACTTCCATGTTTGATTGTAACATGTATATGATCACCTGTATGGTGTTTTATTTAAAGGGAATAAATGGCCAAATAGCATGTAGGTCACTGAACGATGCAATTTGCACCTTGGCACAGCACCTGATCATTAGGGATGATGAGACATTTCCAGACACTGGGGAGACCTCGTTCACCTTTACCTCGTATGAGTATTTTATTTCAAACCGATAATTCTGGGCCTCATTGGTGATGAGACCTGAACTGATTTTGTAGGTCATTTTGACATCATTTCATGCTGATTGTCTGCCAAATCATTGTATACAAAGATTCTAATTTTTTTAAATTAATTTTGGAAGAGACATGGGTTGAGATTACATTGCCTGGTCCATGGAAATATTGGGGTCGGGCAGGGACATGTTTTAAATTGATTTTTCCACCTTAAAATTGCCTCTTTCTGTTGGAGCATCTTCTTATTCAGCAGAGCCTTACAAACTGTTACTCATCTTGCTAATTAGACTATAACAGGATTTTTTTTAAATAGTTAAGTCCTGTTTGGCCTTTTGAT